GAGTTCTAAATGGATAGGATTCACTTGTAATGTGACATGTGCCTATGTATTTGTTTGTTTATTTGTTTATTTTTTTATTTTTAATCACATATATAAAACTCTTTTTAAAATTTAAATATTAAAACTCCCTATCATTGCCGCTTTTTATAGTCCATTTTGAAAGTCTATAACAGTATTAATATTATAGCCTACAAAACAGAGTGATAAGAATGTGGTCAATTTACGTAGCAAAGACACAATATGGAAGGAAGAGTCAATAAATCCGAGTAGTCTCTCAATTACCAACCCCCGAGACCCAAACATATATTCATGAGCTGTAATCCTCTAACTCATCAGACAACACGACCCCCCTCCCATATTGTACTCTAATATTAGTTTTCATTTTTTTTAAGAAAAAAAAATTAAAATTAAAAATTTATTAATAAATATCAAAAATGTCATATTTGATGAGTTGCAAGAAGTGATAGCCCACTGGTGGTGATGGCCATTAGAGTTGGTAGGTAATCGAAGTGTCACTAGAATTATAGATAGTGACCAGTCATAAGAAGGTGGCTGGAGTTGCTAGAGGTTGATGGTATGTGGTGGTGGTGGTGTGTAGTAGCCGAAAGTGGTGGGAGAGGGAGAAAAAAAAATAAAAACATATTTTGAAAATAAGTGAAGAATAAGTGAAGATATATATATATATATATATATTTTTGATTTCAAAAATTTTGGAATCAATTGAAAATAAATCCAATATACATATGTTTTTGATTTCCAAAAGAGGAATGCTATATATAATTTCATTTTTTATTTTGTTTTCTGACTCTTAGACATAGTAATAGAGCTCACATTCATAAATATATATTAGACTCACACACTTATGTATTGGGAGAAAAAATGAAATAAAAAATATTATTATATATTAACTATTAGTTAGTTAGTACACTTAGCATTGTCATCTTTTTTCTTTGCACATGGCACGACATATATACGGCAATGATAGTCTTGGAAAAAAAGGACGTCTATAATATGTTCTAAGATAAAATCGTCTCTCACAAAACCAATTAACCAATAATTCTCATCGGAAAAAAAAAAGTTTAATGTTGTGTTTAGTTGGGGGGTTTGGGAAGGAATTTGGAAAAGAAAAGGGAAAAGGTATGTGAAATGAAACTATGTGAAATGCATGTATATTTTATTCACATTTCACTCCTTTTTCATTTGCTTTTCCAAATCCTTCCTCAAATGCCCCAACCAAATACATCCCAAAACAAGGAAAAAAAAAAAAAAAAGAGGCAAGAAATGAATTTTTGATTAATTTATGAATGCATAAAGAAAATGAGAGAGAGATCAATGATATTTTTTTGGGGGGGAAGGGGGAGGCTGGCATTTGATAACTTAAATACCTCCACACACACACACACACACCATAAAGAAAATGGGAGGGAAAGAAATTAATGAGAGATGGAGGAAGAAACTCAAAAAATTCAACAATTTCTCTTACATTGTGTTTGGTTAGGTGATTTGAGAAAGGATTTGGAAAGGGACAAGAAAAATATAAATAAAATATGAATGAAACATTAGTCTTCTCCATATGTAAGGTTCGGCCTCAGGTCGGACTGAAAGAATGGTACCCAAGTCTGCCTGTGAGCTTATCTCGATGGACTATTTTCTGACTTGCTGGGTGGGATTGACGGATGGGTCTGCGAACCACCTCTGGGCTAAACTTCAATACCCAGCCCCAACCCACTCATTATTCAGGTTGGGCCAGTTTGGTGGAATACAGGCTTGGACTAGGTAAAAATAAAACGGGCCTTGGCTGAGATGCAGGCCTAGCCTAATAATGACAATTACCCACAAGGCATATCTTTTAGTTAGTGTCAGTGGTAGATTAATATTCTAAATTGCTGTTATTTCAAGAAATTGTGAAGAAAAAAATATAGGCTGCTTAGATACTACATCAACATGAGGATGAGATTCATTCAATTTTTACTGCTTATGAAAGCCTCTCATAACTGAATTCCATGAATTTTCTTATTACCTATGTCAATGGAAAGAATTTTTGGTCAAGATTAGTTAAACTGTCACTCCCACCTCCCATGTAAGAAAGTCAAAAAAATTCAAATTTGCATGAGAACTGCCTTTGCCACGTATTAATACAAATATAGCCAGCATGATACGAGAGAAAACTCCTAAGATTGCTCTACACATTGAATATAGTTATAAAAATAGATACAAACAATTATATGTCTGTAAAGTCCTATATGGACTTTATTGGCATGTTTGATTAGGTGGATTAATTCAATTGGATATTAATCCAATTGGATAATGAATACTACACTAATTTAATAGGATTATTAATACTTCACTATTAGTCTTGTGAATCAAACATGACCTATAGATATATAAGTGCATGCGTCTGGTTCTATTATTTCTCAAACACCCTACCAAAAAAGCTCACATGAACAAAGCTGTGGGCCAGTTTGGGCCTATTCATAGCCACAAGTTCTTTCAAAATGAGTTGGCAACCAGACCAAACCAAAGCGGGGCGGATGGACCCAAACGGGGCGGCTAGCAGCCATCTTCTCTCCAAAGTTTCGGAAACTTGTTTTATTATAATAATAATAGATACAAATATTTTTGTAATTTTAGAGGTTCACCTCAAAGATTTTTTTATGAAAATATAATACAATATATTAATGATATTATAAGCCTCAGTGTACAATTTTTTAGTTACATATACATTTGTATCTAAGATAATGCATGCATGGATAGCCAACCATAATTCTATAAAATAAATAAATAAATAAATTTAAAAATGGAAGTGTAATTTGGTGAGGGGAGTTGGTGGGGAATTGACTTGCCAGTTTTGTGGTGGACCCGTGTGATGTTTCGTTTTTGTACGTAATGATGTTTCTAGAAACTCACCTACTCACAACCCACTAAGCCTATGTTTGGCAAGTAGGTTTGCAGGTTTTTTTGACTATTTTAGTCACAAAAAATAAAATAGGCTATTTTAGCCATAACAAACAAAACATCACATTCAACCCATAATCATTACATTCTTCTCTCACAAAAAAACTCAAAAAAGCCAAAAAGCCAAAAAGTCCTTCCCAAACCAAACTTTTAAGCTCAGGCTAAAATAGCCAAAAAAGCCAAAAAGCTAAAAAGCCAACCCACTTCCCAAACGGAGGCTAAATGTTTCCAAAACATGGATGATGGGAAGGATAATTATTTAATAATTTCCTAATATAGACATGTGATATTTTATAATATTATAATTGACAAAAAAGATAGATATATGAGATATTGGTTTATTTTAAAAAGTGTGTTAAAAGTCACTTCTCAATTTTTAACGCAATTTTTCTCTCATATAAAAAAGTCAAAAAAAAAAAAAACCAAAAATCAACTTTTAACCATCTTTTCAAAATATTCCATTGTGTTGGGTGATTAAAAGATATAAAAAAAAACATAATAAATAATGATTGATTAGAGAATACAAACATGCGATATTCTGAAAATATTCTATAATTTTCCTGATGCGAAAGGGGGGGTTTTTGCAAAGCTTTGCTGGTTTTGTTTTGTTTTTGTTTTGTTGTGACTAATTTTATTGTTTTTGCATGATGTGAAACTAAATTCCAGTCTTTCACTCTTATCTTCCTTTTAATATTCCTCTTGATCAATCACTGAGCACCACTCATATAGGCCAAGCTTAAGCAAGAGTTAGTTGATACTTATTTTCAGATGACGTCATTATTTCTTTTCTAAAAAATATGTTCACCATCATTTATTTAAGTTTTATTTAATAATAACTGAACATTCATAAATCCAATGTGGTAGGAAACAAAATCGGTTATGCACAAAAAAAAAAAAAATTGTTTTCTTTTGGAGATGATTATTACGGATGAATTAGAAATCTAGTTTACCAAGAAATGAAAAAAAAAAAAAAAAAATTTGTTTTCTTTTGGAGATGATTATTACGGATGAATTAGAAATCTAGTTTACCAAGAAATGAGATTAATGACCTGTAAAAATAGTTTGAAATTTGACACTAGTGTGGTGTTGGCTTATTACTTTCAGTGTTACGTTCTTTTTTTTTTGATAATTGTTATGGACGAATAAGAAATCTAGCATGGTAAGAAACAAGATTGGCTTCCTATGAAAACTGTAAAATTTGATACTAGTATGTTGTCGGCTTGATACAGTTAGGTTTTATTTTTTTCATTTAAAATTGATGGTTATAACAAAATATAAATTTTTTGGGGTATAATTGTTACCGATGAATAACAAATGAGATTGATGACTAGTAAAAATAGTGAAACTTGACAGCTGTTGTCGGATGTTACAGGTAGGGGGGTGAAATTTTGTTTTCAATATGGATGGGGCAGAACTAGAAAATGGGAGATTCTTCCATGATGTAAAATAGGCATGCTTGATTAAAATAACCCGTGGGTTGACTTCATTGTTAACGAAATGAAAGCGAGTTCTGTTCATGATTTGAAAATAGGATAGTTTTTTCTGCTTTTATGTCACCTTTATTTCATGTGTTTGCACAATAGCTCCAATGTTCCATAGAAGAACAGTTACTTTTGTTTGTTTGTTTTTTTAATTTGTAAAAAAAATATTTTTTAGAAGGGATCTACAATTTAAATCCGTGGCAGGTGGATAAGTAATTACATAACAGCGAAAATCTTTGTGGGTTGTAATTTTTTCTATATTTTTTTAACGTAAGAAACATCGACACCCATGTATTTGTAATTACTTTTTACGTAACAATCATTTGCTGGTTGGCAAATGATACTATTACTCCTGTAATTTAAGTGAAACAGCACTTTAATTTTCCTTAAAATTATAAAAATTAGAATAATATTTCATTTAAACTATAGAATTAATGATATAATTTTTCTATAATTTATTTTGAATTTCATTCTAATCTTTGTAATTTTGTACATGATTTTTTTAATTCAAAATATGATAACACAGTCAGATGGGCTACATTAATTGTTGAGTTGTTGTGGTAGATGGCAGGCCCTGGTAAAGTTAGAAGCACAGCATCATCTAAAGTTGGTTTACCTACTCAGCAAGCTCCAGCTAGAGTTGCTGCCCCTATTGAACATGCACCAGCAAACTTAACTCCATCTGCTCAAAGTGTACCATCTACAAATGCTCGACATATCCAGGCTGCACCATCTATAAATGCAACTACTACTCAGGCTGTACCATCTACAAATGCAACTACTACACAGGCTGCACCATCTACAAATGAAGGTACTACCCAGGCTGCACCATCTACACTTACTTTGCGTACCCGTTCTACACAGGGAAGGGGTCAGACTCGAGGGAAGAGCATAGCGCATCTCATAGCTAAAAATGGTGGCAAAAAACTTCCTGTTTGGGTCCCTGCAGATGCCAAGGTACCAGTAGGGCCTTATGCCACTCCATTTGCAAATGAAGTTGGGTTGCAAATAAGGATGGCTGCACCTATAATTGGCATGAGTAAGTGGGATAAGATTGACAAGATTCATAAAGCCCCAATCATTCAGGCAGTTCGGGTACTTGTATTTGTTGTTTTTAAAATAGTTAGATTATCACCTTCACTTACATTTTAATATTAATAAAACTATTCATATATTTGCAGGATAAATTTGAGATTGTTGATTATGATGAGGATAAAGAGGTTCGGAAAGCAATCGACAAGAAGTGTAAAACCCTTTACAAAAGTTGGCGTAACAAGATGAAGACGCATTACTCAAAGTTGGTAGAAGCTGGTGTTGACCCTTACACTAAGCCATACAAAGGGGTTGACCATGAGGCTTGGGTATACATGATTAATCATGTATGGCTTAATAGCGATCATCAGGTAAAATTTCATAACTTAAAGAAGCGTGTTTCAATTTCAATTTAATTTTACTAATCATTTACTTTTGTAGGAATTGGCTGAAAAAGGGAGGAATAGTCGATCGAAATTACCATATAATCATACAATGGGCTCTAAGTCATTTCAAGCTGCAATGTATAAAGAGGTGATACATTTAATATATTTGAAAGTGTGATTGAGTTAAAATTAACAACCCCTATTTATAAAGCATATTTATTGAGGATGAACCCGCAAAAAAGCAACTCAAACAAGACAATTTTTGTTGCCTGCTCAACGAGAGAGCACATAGTTTTCAAGTCACCTAAAAAAAAAAAATATTTTTTATTTTTATTTTCTAGAGCTACCGACCTTATTAATATCTTTCCTAATGAGTGTAAAGATGGAAAATGATAAACATGAAAATTATTTTTAAAAAATAAATTAATATAGAATAATATAATAATAACTATGACAATTTTGTAATTATAAGTCAAAATGATATAGATTTTTAATTTTCAACTCATGAATCTGAATGATTTGCATTATTCTTTATGAGAATGATAACTTTAACTATTAAAATTTTAATTTTTTGCGACGGTAAAATGCCGTCGCTAATACTCCTAATGCCGTTTAAAAAACTTTTTGCGATGGCAAATGACTTTTTGCGACGGCAAGAGGGGGGTCGCAATTGGGGGCGTTGCAAAAGAGTTTTTGCGACCGTCACTAATGTTTTGCGACGGCATTTTAGCCTTTTGCGACGGCAAGAGGGGGGTCGCAATTGGGGGCGTTGCAAAAGAGTTTTTGCGACCGTCACTAATGTTTTGCGACGGCATTTTAGCCTTTTGCGACGGCACTTTACAGTGGCTAATAACGTTTGAAATTTCTTAACTTTTTTTGCGACGACACTATTTTACCGTCGTTAAAAATGTTATTTGAGACAGCAAAAAATGCCGTCGCTAATAGTCTTTTTTTTTGCAATGGCAAGAACATTGTTTTTGCGACGGTGTGGTGCCGTCGCAAAAAGTATTAAAAATATGAAAATTTCTATTTTTTGCGACAGTGTACTGCCGTCGCAAAAAGTATTGAAAAATAATAAATTTCTATTTTAAATAATAAAATTTTTATTTTTTGCGACAGTTTAGTGCCGTCACAAAAAGTAAAACCTATAACAAAATCAATAAAAATATTAAAATTTTCTATTTTTTGCGACGATGTAGTGTCATCGCAAAAAAGAAAAAAACATCCTGCGATAAAATTATTAAAAATACTAAAATTCATCCATAATAATTGCATAATAATATAAAAATTCCTGTATAAAAATAACAATTTCTCCATAATAAAATATTCTTCCATTCATAATTACACATCAACAAAATTATCTCACTACATAATGTTCCATAATACATATATAATGTTTAAATACATGATTTTGTTCATAATTCAAAATAACATAAACCAAAATTAAATGTTTTTCTCATCATTCTTCGTAGATAACAAAAACAAAAGTTAGCCACGTTCTCCACAGGCATGCATTCCACAAGAAGCACACTCCTACATGGAAAATATCTGAAAAATAAAAATAAAAATAAAAATAATTAATGACAATATAATTATGTGTTAATATTTGACTAAAATTACTGTGTAAAAAATTTATGACACTTGCTACACTACCAAACAGATACAGGCATTAAAAAAAATTCAAGATCATAATAAACAAAATAATAATTTGTAAATAAAATTTGTAAATAAAATTTTCAATCAATAGACATTTACAAGACAAAAAGTATCAAAAAAAGATTTTATAAATATTTTACAAAAACAAAAACAAAAACAAAAAAAGATCAAAATATAATAAAAAATATGATATAAGCACTTTTTCCACATTGATCACTAATCTGACAAGATTTAAAAAAAAAAGAAAATTATTCTAATAAGGACCCTGTTTATTTAATTGGGACAAGAAAGCATAAAATTGAACGCTACAATTGCAATAGGTGGAACAAAAGACGGTCAGTTGCATGTAAAAAATAACAGAAAGACTATGTACCGAAAAAAGGGAAAAAACACCAAAACAAGACCAAACCCTCAAAATGAAAGTTTAAGAAGGAAAACAATTATATGCAAACAATGAAAACTCGTTCAGGTACTTGCTACATAGTCAAACAAGGAACAGAATGATAACAACTGAATTGAACCAACAGAGATGATTCCAAGGTCCCATAGCAGTTAGAGCAGGTACAAGGCCATCCATCATCAAAATATCCACAGTAGGCAATGCTCTCCAATCTCCTCTCATGCCCCTCAAGCAAATGGAAGAAGAGATAACTGCTATGAAACCCATTTTATAAGCAGCAATGGTTAATTTACAATACACAAGATATTAAATGAACTAATTCAGATACATGAGAGTTTCAACTTAACCAAACACCAAACTCTCTCAGACTCTGATGCAGTTATGTACTATATGCACCATCACTATTACTGTAAACAATCAAAGAATATTTTTAACTTGAAGTGAACACCTTCTGGTTTTAATCGTACCATACCAGTTTGACCTGGTTATGTATAACACTCATCACTAACAACTAAGCAAAAATTGTGATTGGAAATATTCTTCCCTTCCATATCTAGTTGGGAAGTTTCTCAATTCACTTCTTGGAACCAACTATGCATTGACTCTTACATTAGTTAAATAGAATGTCAAAACATTCGTGTTGGATTTGTCATGCAAGTAAGACTATTTTGTATACGTATATATATTGTAGATGAGACTTATGCAAAAACTAACTTGTAGTGCCTATACCATCAATCACCAAATGAAATTTTTTTTCTATTTGGTAATCTTCCTGCCAGAGGCCACCATTCAATACTGATCTAATAAGCAAGACATCATTTTTTTCTCTAGCAGAATGCCTTAAATTTTGCCAAAATTTAATTTTGCTATCAGAAACCAATCATAGGGCAACTGACAAGTACCCTTTATAACCAGCATGAGCAAACTAAGAGACTACCACAAAAAAATTTCCCTGGCGTTCCACAAAATTAATGATGGCCTGATTTATCAGCATATCAAAGAGAAGTAAAATTCTTCAATGCAAAGAGTACTAACTACCATCCTCATCCATGTTATCCATCTCTTCTTCTAAATGGAATCGTTTGAGTATGGCCAGCATTTTTTGTTTACTTTCATCATCAGGTTGCAATTGCCGCATCTCTTCCACTACGTTTTCTCTCATGAAAGATTCAGTACAATGTAGACAATGAGACTGCAAAAATTGACAAATGAGGTCAACATCCATTGAATTATTTGACCAAATTATGACCAAAAAAGAAAATATGATATAACATTAATCATATCTGTGTATGCAAATAAACCACATAAACAAAAAGGAAAGAAGAGAAAACCTAGAAACCATTTGTGAACTAATTCTATTTTGAAACTTTTATCTGTCAGGAGCCTACCGTTTAGCTTCATTTGGCAATTAATTTACAAATTTAGACCAAAAACTATAGTTGTTAACAAAATATTTTGAAATTTTGCTTTTGATTGCGTACCTTTTTCACATAACATTGTAACACCTAACTACTTGAGAAAAGTCATTTGATAGATCAGAATACGAAAATGAACTTGTGCTTACTGTTGGATAGTTGATGCTTGATAATTTATAAGACGGGTCAGATAGTACACTGTGATCTAAGTAAAATATCTGAAGGAAATTTTTTTCACAAATCCAAAATAATAATTTATAATTTTTTTCACAAACCCAAGGAAATTTGAAGTTAGAAATGTTACTTCATTGATATGCAGAAATGAGTGTGCAGCATATGATTCTGTATATATTATTGGAAATTCAATTTGGTAATAGGAAGAATTATTAGAGATTCAGTGAAATCCGAACCAGAAATCTTAATTCAAACACACAGTACATTTAGTTTGGAATCTTAATTCAGTCATTAATTTACACAACTGCAAGGACTGGCATCAAAAGCTGTTTATATCACAACTTAAACCAGAAATGAAGATGAGGAAACTAAGATCCTCTATTAATTTCAAACAATAATCAGAGGCTCAATAAGCACTTATGAAAGAAATGTCAAATTAAGCATCCCTTTAAGACACCAAAAGAGCCCCGAAAAAAACATTTAAAAAAAATGCATAAGCAATAATGGCTTATTAGTCTTTTAAGAAAAATCCTTTTAGAATAGATTACAGCATAAATGCAGTATGCAGTATGATAAATTAAGGCTCAAAAAGAGAGTTGTGAATACACCTTCTTCTGGATTGTTCTATCTGTTGTATCAACATCAACATAAAAGCCAGCTTGATGAATCATGTCCTTTACCTATTAAAATTGAACACAAGAAGGCATTCAAATTCCACAACTTTTGGAATGTGCAAATGAGAGAGACGAAAAATGCTTGTTGATATATGGTGACGACTTTAAAACCCTAGAGACATCGCAGTTATTTACAAACCAATTTTGCAATTATTTTCTGTTCAAAGGAATAAAAACATAACAGAATAAAGGCTCAACACAAACATATCAAAAGTGTAATTTGTACATGAGCTTGCTTTGAATTTCCAATTCTAAGAAACAAAATCCTCTATCTGCTATGGTTAACCAACCTGTAATGCATATGGTTCGGATTTCACTGACACAGGGCAAATATGTTAACCAACTTGAAATTTAATTCATATATGTATGTATGTATAAACATGTGTGTGTGTGTGTGTGTGTGAGAGAGAGAGAGAGAGATGAGTAAAGAGTAAAGAAAAAAAAAACGTAAGAGATGTTGAGGTGGCAGAAGAGGAGGCCGATGCTGCTGCTGCTCCGACGCTCCTTCTCCTCCGACGACGCTACTCCTCTTCCGACAACGACGCTGCTCCGCCGCTGCTCCTCCGCCACTCGTTGTCGATCGAGAGAGACGGCGCTGCTCCTCCGCCGCTCACCTTCGATCGAGAGAGAGAGAGGGAGGTAAGGAAAGATTAGGGATTTTGGGGTTTGAGATTCGGGATTTTTTGTTTAAAAAGGAAGGGAAGGGAGCGGGAATGGGAAAAAAAAATGGGCGGGAATAAAAAATAAATTTTTTTTTGAGTCACAAATGAAATTTAAATAACAAAATAACGCCGTTTAACTCTTTTTTTTTTTTTTGCAACGGGGGTTGCCGTCGTCAAAAAATTTTATTTTTTGTTAA